CTTTTTATCATTTCAAAACCCTTACTCCTGTCTGATTCTTAAAAAATCTACACATTTCATGCAACAGCAACTTCCTAAGCTTTCTAGATAAGTGTTTGACATGGCACATTTCTTCTTTCTACGTTTTTCAGTGAATGTGTCTTAATAATTTCATTGTGTGCTTTTTCAAACAAAGCTTGCACATAACCTTCACTTTGCGTTTTATAAATGTGAAATACTCTCGTAGCGCGACTTCTTTCTCATTCATAAAAATCATAAAGATTAATCAGCCACAAGATTAAAATCACCTGCCTTAATATTAGATCTGCTTTGTGCCACAGTAACACCTTTGAGCTGTCAAGGCAGGGATTCCACAAGCCCTCAGCAGGTTTCCTGAGGTATCAAGAACTAATATGACAGTAGCAGCTCGTTTAAGCTGCAAGGCAGGGCCTCATGGATGGGTCTCATTTTGTCAGCAGATCCCATAGATGTGCAATTGTGTTAAACTACTTGCTGAGATCATAAACTCACCAAGAAGTGCTTAAAGTTCTAGAAAACAAATTTTATATTCCTCTTTTTTTGCAATCAGGATAGTCCTTTTTACACCACAAAGCTACTTCCTTCTTTTATATATAGCCTATGGCTGTTGTAACTGCAATTCATAGCCATCAAGTCCTTAAACGTCCCATTTTTCAAATTCAAATGCATCAACTTTCAGAGGCAATTCTTGTTCCCTATAGTAGCCCACCCAGACTATACTACGGAAGAGGATTAGGGCCACTGGAAAAAAAAATCTGAGAAAAAAGTCAGACTTTTTCATCAAAATGATGTTTTTTTCAGAATTCTGAGAAAAAAGTCAGAATTCTGACTTTTTTCTCAGAATTCAGGAAAAGAAGAGGAAAAAAGAAAAAGAAAAAAAAAGACGTGCCCATTCCCCCCCCCAGTGGCCCTAATCCTCTTCCGTACTATACAGGTGTCTTTATAGTCAGATAAAAGTTTTGCCTAACTGCTGTGTAATCATTATCAAAGCTCTTTGGTCTTATAAAACATTTGATCAGTCCCAGGAGGAGAAACCTTACCCTCGTGTTCATCTACGACCGGCTCTACATCTGCATTAACCAGAACATCTTCAGGTGGAGCAGATTCAGTCTGAGGTGAGAGTTCACCAGCTGACATTGTAAGTGACTGGGTCTGTATGCAGATCTTTACGGGAAGCAGCAGACTCTCTGACTCAGCATCCTCAGAAGACAAAGAAAACACATCTCATCACCTCATATGAATCCCATGCAAAAAAGAGGGATTTCCTTTAGTGACAAAATCTATATATATTTCTCTATATCTATATCTATCTATAGATAGAGAGAGAGATAAATAAAGAGAGAGAGAGAGATATAGAGATATATATAGAAGACCAAATCTTCATAGTTCTAAATTACCAAACATTAAATGTATAACAAAAAAAAAAAAGACCATTTATAGCTGCTAAAGACAACGATTAACACAATATCGGAGAACTCACTGATTCTATGATTGTGTCGTCTTCATCATTAAATTCATCCTCAATGCGATTTCCTAAAAGAACCAGACAAGAGGAGTTTGAAAAAATAAATATTTATATCTTTAAAAAAATATTTAGCAAACTATACA